CTTTTAATAATGGCCATAGATGTACAGCTAAAAAGAAAAAGACTTCTGTGCAAAATGACACCCTCAGTAAAATTGAATTTTCAACATCATTAATTTTTTGATATTTGCAGCACTAACAAGCTTGAGCACAATTTGTTTTTAATCATTAATAGTTGGATATGCCAAATATTATGAAATATCCAAAATAATGAGAAAATTACAGGTTGATTGTTATCGTAATACTGGAATGCACTTTTGCTTTTTAGCCATACTAATGGTACCCACAGCTTAACAAAACATATCTAGAAAAGTCAGATTAACTGTGGGAATAGGCTACGTCAAAGGGAGAAAACTCTACATGCAATCATCCCAATGACTTACCCCCCTTGGATTAAACATAAAGTTCTTTTAATATCACATTTTTAGTTGGCTGGTTTGGATTTTGTCTTTTTGCTTCAAAAAAATAAAGAAACAAATGTAGAAATATGCAAATGAAATGACAGGATTTGTATGAAGCATAGGAAAGGGTAGGATAATGAATATGATACATCTGTCATAAAGCTTAAGCATGATAAAATTGTGATTGAAGATTACAATATTTCATCATTTTTAACTGGTACAACTTGGTATAGGTAACCTGCCTGAGCATCGATCAGAAAACCATCCAATTTGTACCACAGTATATTGAACTGTACCCTAATATCTGTGGAATAATTGTTCAATAAACTGACCCTATCTGCCATTATAAATCATTGATTAACTATTTAAAGTTAATACCAATAAATGATGAAATTGTGAGCATGAATCAAGAGAATAATAATCAGAAGTTAAAATTCCAGCTATTGATACAGCAAGTTACTGTTTTGCAGCTAACCTAGAAAGTCAATTATTTGATATTGTTTACAAGAGGTTAATCTGAAAAACAGCAGATAAGATCTTCAGTGAAGATATCAAGTTCAGCTCGCCACTGGCTAGGTTATAATGTCATGTGTCATATGATATGATTATCATATAATGACATATTTTTGTCTTGATTATTATCTCACAATAACAAATCATTTTTTTTTTTTTTTTTTTTGTCTTTCCTGATAAAATTCAGATATTTTTTATCAGATTATATTTTAACAAAGAAACAAAAGATAAGAAAAGTAGAAAATTTGGTTTTCAAATTTGGACAATTAAAATTTGACTTGAATCATATATATGCTCTTTTAAGCAATACCACTGCTCTGTTTGCAAATTCAATCTGTATCAACTAAATGGCAATAAATCCCGGAAATAATTTTTTAATTGGCAATATGATTTCAAAAGTATAAGTATTGGAATGTATTTTTTTGATTTTTTTGAGACATACCTGGATCTATGGCACCATCTTTATGATTTTCTTCATCACTTCCACCTCTACCAGAATCACTAGTACCTGCTTCACCTGATGATTGACTAGCAGCATCTTCACCTCTCTTCAATATCTCCATCAATTCATGAGCCTGTAATAACAAGACAATATACAATACATTTAATCCTTTCTTGAAAATACTGTTATATAGGACATAGTTAGTCTTATATGATGACGTCTGTTTCGTACCTGATTTGTTATATACAATGGATAATATACTATGACTGCCTGAAAAGGAAATCAAAATATACAGCAAAAATTTGAATAAAATTTATCTATGTCGGTATGATTGTATGCAATAATTATACTAATTATACCAGAATAAGTCAAGTTGACTCTCCATTGCATTTCCTGTCACTAAAGAAGACAACTGATGAATTAGGCCTACTAACCTCTTGTTCTTTCGCTATATTCCATTGTTCTAGAGGAGGGGGAGGTAACTCTGGAATGTTATCATGTGATGATAATTTATTGTTACCAATAACTAAACAATTGTCTTTCATACCTCCCTGTAAATACGGACATATATCATTGAATTTACACACATAAATTTATCACTGGACAAAGAATTAAATGATACTCTAAGTTGTTGCTGTATTTTTAATAGCCAGCTCTACAACATATTATTATTTGGTGACATTTTCATGCAGCTATAATTGGGCTTGTCCAAAATACGTACTATTTTAGTGGTTCATATAGTAGGCATTGTTTGGGGGATGGTATTCAATATTATTTACATCATTTTTCCTTAGTTTTAAAGGAATATGTTATTCATACATTGTTATTGTTTTTTCAATATTAGTCAATAATCTATTTGAGTTTTCATTAACAAATGTAGACTTTTGACATTCTAAAATTTTTAATGTATTTGTTTCTATTTTAAGAATGTTTTTGTCATGCACAAATAGAATTGATTAATATCTCCATATTGTGATTAGGATATTATATCATACGGTTTTGTATATCAAATGCAACAGCATATATTTTTCTGAAATGTCATTTTCACGATAACTCAGAATGTCATGTGTTGTTCTGATTTGAAAGGACATAGTTATTTATATATATTTGCTTTACCAGATGATTAAGCATAACATAAGACTGTCTATTGTTTTGTCGAAACAAAAAAAAAGAATTTTGACTCATGGTTTTTTCAAGCTTTTGATCTTTCAGAAAAGACTTAGCTCATGTATTCTTCCTTTGTCATAAATAAAAGAAAAGTAAAAGGTTTTCTGCTGTCATATACAGACAATAAGGATGTCATTCACTAGAGTTTATTTCTCTGAGTGGTTATAGTTTAGATTATCATGAAAGAATAAATTCCCAGGTGTCTAATAATAAGCCTATGTTCAGTGTTTTATGTAACGATTGAATTCTGGTTAAACTTTAATTTATGATCACAGAATAAAAAACATTCAGTTCAGACAATAGCAAGAGATGTTATCTGTTATCTGCATGTTTCTGCTTCAAAGATTATTGAAGATCTGTCATCTCTATGGTACTGAAGGTTCTTATAATATTAATGGTGTACAAGGTTTTTAATTGACTTTAATTCATCTTTGTTTGGTATACTGTTTTATTGTTGTACTGTTTGGTTTTGCTATAGTCCTATAATTTGAAAATCAATACAGCAACTGCTTATACCTTTTGAAAAAAATTGTTGATACATGATGCATATACCAAATTATTGGTACTCTTAAAGGGTTAGCATATTTTGGACATGGAAACAAGGCTTAAGTCAAAAGTGCCAAAAAAACAAATACAGTCATAAAATACAGAGTTCCAAAACTTGAATAGAAAATATATGTATAACAATTATTCAGCATTAACTTTCATAAGAGCAAATTACAGAGCGAAATTAGAGTGTCCCTTTTACAGCAAATAATTGTGCAATTCCTAATGGACAAAAACCTGAATATTTTTATGATAAATGGGACAGAGATGACTCAAGAATTCTCTTCCCATTCTGATTAGAAGACATGTGTTAGAGCACAATTTAAATAGAGAATAAACATTCCCAAGAAAAAATTAATATCTTGATTTGTTTCTGTTCTATATCGTACTTTAGTCTGACAATGTGCCACTTATCTTGTCAGATTAGGTGTGATAATATTCTAGTTCAACATATCATTTGTCATAAAATACACCAAAAACCTATCATAAGTCAAGACAGATAATACTTCCATCAAAATTCATGATCAACATTGTTTTTATGACGGTATGGAATGGGAATTGAATTATCTACTCAGACGCCAATATTGATGTCAAGTTTGGAAACAATGTATGATTGCTGCCTTTTGGGACCTAAGTTGATATATTATCTTCCATTCTGTGCAATAAAATCATAATGTATTGCTCAGAAATTTTTTATGTTTTTGTGACATTAGTTGCAACCCTAATTTGGGAATATTCGTAGGCCTATCTTTTCAATTGTAACATAACATGCATGCTGAACTTTGATAGCATTTATTAAATAAACAGAATATTTTGTCATGTTAAATTTTCATCATTAAAGTTAACAATGTAGAGTATGCTTATCCTGCAGGAACATTGGTAACCCTTCGTCAATTAAAGATTCTTTTTAGAGAGTTCTCGATGCTAATATTAGTCATAAGATAACCTAAATTTTATTTAAAACTTACATTTCAGTTGGAAATGATATTTGTTAGATTACACATAGTGAACATTTACTGTCAAACACACAAATTTGATTTGGATTTCTATTCTGTTGCCTTGGTTCAGGTGCATTGTGTTATTTACACATGAACTGGTCTTCTAGTCTGTCAAACATATGGACATGAAGTTGATGGTTTTGGTTGGCAAAATGAGCCGTTCTTTACAATTCAATAAAGATGATGTAGTGTTTATTTAATCTGATTGTGGAGTTCATATTACTCCATGGATAGACAGACAATAATAAACAAATGAATGAATAAAGATATTTTTACTGACAAGGAATTTCTCACATCTTTATTTCATTAGATATATGTCTTGATTCTCACAGTTCAGCAAGTTTTTAATGGGTGATACTGATTCTTCAAATTCTTTTTCTCATTCTAAATTTCACTTTTTTATGCATTGTTATATATATATGTGCAATTTATGCAGATAGAAATTGTTTGTCTGTCATGATCATCATATGTATACAGTGCAATTTTTATGCAACTGTTCAATCAGTATGGATGAAACATTCCTTGGAATGCCATTGGGTCAAAACTTATAACTATTACATTGATACACTTACCTGGTTGGAATGATGATTTGGTGTTGATTTAAATGTAGAAAATGCTGTAGCATTGGATGATGCTGTATTGTTTAAATCTTCCCCTTCCTCTAGTGAAAAACTCACTTCTTTTCGAATATTTTTCTTAGGAAAGTCTTCATTATTTTCATTAGAATGGTTTGAAACTGATGAGAAACTGTCTTTTTTTATCACCCCAAACATTTTCTCCTCTTCTGTTTTCATTAAAACAATTTGTTGTTGTCGTTCACGATCAATTCGTTTGATTAGACATATTGTCGTAACTATGGCAATACCCAAAATTAATGTCACAACAACTAAACTGACAACAATTACCATATTTTTGTCAATTTCACCTTCTCCTTCAAAAGCTGAAAACGTACCATTGGATTCGGCTACATTGAGATAAAATTTAGTTCTAGATGACATCGGTGGGTTTCCACTATCAGACACCATTATTTCTAGTTTATACAGTGCTGAATCATCTGGGCGAATACGTCTTGATAGAGTTAAATCACCAGTAACACGATTTAAATTAAATAAATGCCGATTATTTCCCGATTTCAATGTGTAAATTATACGAGCATTAGCAGGCTCATCTTTGTCAAAGGCTTGCATTGTTGATAACACCGTTCCTACTGAGGTTTCAAAAGGCACTTCTGCTGTGTAATTTTCAGCAGTTGGATACTGAATAATAGGCACATTGTCATTGTCATCTAAGATATAAATAGTAACATTTGCCTTATCTGAAAACCCAGGAACTTGTGGATCCTGTACATGAACTGTAAAGCTGAACTGATCATTATGTTCACGATCAAATTCTTTCTTCGTTGTGACTAAACCAGTCCGAGCATGAACACTGAAATAATCCAAAGCCCAAGAATTGATAGGAATTGAATATAGGAATTCACTGTTAGTAATAGTATCATTGTCTACAGCTGTGATGTTTCCAGCAACAGCTCCTGGTGGCTGGTTTTCCATAACATACAGAAAGAACCAGGGTCGTTTGAAATGGGGTGGCTGGTCATTTTGGTCCAAAACACTTATTACAACTTCAACAGATTGAGCATTTGGTTTACTTCCATAATCATTAGCTACAACATTGAATTTGAATTCAGGTGTTTTTTCGCGATCAAGAACTGTTTGGGCTGTAATAATACCAGATTGTTTGTCTATGGCAAAATATTTCTGGATTTTATTTTCCATAGAGTAATAAACCCTTCCATTTTCACCACTGTCCCAATCATGAGCTGAAACCTGAAGAACTTCCTCCCCTATTTGATTGTTCTCAATAATACTGGCCATATATTTTGTTTTACTGAATGCTGGAAAGTTGTCATTTTCATCCAGAACATGAACAGTGAAAGATGATGAGTTGGCTAAAGGAACTTGTCCACCGTCTCTACATGTTATTGTTACATTATGACTAGCTTGGGTTTCGTGATCCAAATTTTTACCTAGGACTATTTTATAACTGTCATCGAAAAAGTTCTCTAACAGAAAATGGGAATCACTCATAGAGCATTCTACTCTGGCATTCCTCCCACTGTCCTTGTCGGTTACAGAAACATGAGCTACAAACTTGTTCGTGTCCACAGCTTCAGAAATCTTGGTACCTTCTGGTGTGAGATTGATGTTTATTTGTGGTGCATTGTCATTCTCATCTTTAACATCAACAGTAACTAAAACACCAGATGACAAAGATGGAGATCCAGCATCATAAGCTTCTACCATAAACTGATACTGTTTGGTCAGTTCATAATCTATACTACCAATAGCAAACACTCTACCAGTTGATGGATCAATGTCAAATGCTTTTCTCACAGCGTCTGAGACTCTGGAGCTGAACCTGTAGGCAACATTACTGTTAATGCCTTCATCAGCATCAAAAGCTACTAGTTGAACCACTGTTCTGTCAGGAGGCAAGTTCTCATATACAGATACATGATAAGTTTTATTGATGAACACTGGAGGATTGTCATTAACATCAGTCACTGTAATATCAATAATCACTGATCCTGTTTTCACCGGATAACCACCATCTTGAGCAATGACCTTCACCTGAAACTGATCCCTAGTTTCTCGATCCAAAGGATGCTTCACCACAATCCCTAAATCCGAACTACCATCCCAGTTTTTGACGACTTTTAAACCAAACATACCAGCACTAGGGATTAGAGAATATGATTGGATGGAATTATTTAAACCCATGTCTTTATCCACAGCACCACTGGTTAGTAAAACATGATTAGTTGGGACAGATTCAGGCACGGTTAGACTGATTTGTGGCTGTGGGAATTGCGGACGATTGTCATTGACATCCTCGATCACCACCTTGACTTTCAATAATTTGTATAGGTCATAGTCATTTAAAATACGATCTCTCATATAAACTGCTATGTCTAGTGATACTTCACATGATATTTCTAATGGACATATAGCTTCACGGTCAATCACAGCATTAGTTCGAATTGTTGAGCTCTTTTCGTCTATTTTGAAAAGTTTGGCGTGTGGATTTCCTTGTGTGAAAAATGTAAACTTTAATCTCTGGAATTCAGATTCAGTTATATTACCATATAATAATGTATCCCTGGCAACATTTCCCACAAATGTCTCAGTTTCTTGGTTTTCTTTCAGTGTGTAAGTATATGCAATATTTTGAGCAGAAGTGGCAGATATAGACCACATGCCCAGGATGAGCAAAAATCTTCTTATAAATGCCATTTTGAATTCCATTTGTGTATCCTCAGAGCTTTTTATTGGTTAATCTGAAATCGGCACCATCATTAAGTTCCACATATTGAGAATTGTCTTTGGTATTCATTCTGCACCTGAAATGATAAAAAATATGAATTAATTTAAATATCAGAGTAGCAATGCAACAGTAAATCAGATAGATCTGAATTTTTCTTTTGTTACAAATAAAAGATAAATGCAAGACAGATGGACAAATTTGATATAACATGCAATATTTTGTCATTGAATTATTCATTAGTGTGAGATGTCAGATAGGTCCTTATCAGTGGTTGCTAAAAAGTCCATAGCAAATATGCATAAAACAATTAAGCGGAGAAAATGATCATCTTAATTAAAATGATTCAGAAGTTAGTTGAAAGTCCATTCTACAGGTTATAAAAATTTGATTGCTACCAGCTTTGCTTTAGTGGTGAATAATTCATTGTGTGTGATATTTGTTAGATTATTCCTTATCAGTAATTGTTGTATGCATAAAACAATCCATCAGTGAATAAAGAATTAGTTCAATTGACAAGACTAGAGCATTTCAGACGTACTAGAAAAAAAACTCTGACGAACTCGTCATTTACAGTTGATCAACTCAATATTTAGCTTACATTGCTTTGATCTAAACTGGGGAGTTCCAGGATATAAAGAATCGTTTGATGTTTGCCGTGGATTAATCAAACAATAACAGTTGAGGTCATCAATAATTATTTCTATCAATAAGTCGATGGAGCGCCAAGTTGAAAACTGGGTCACAAACAACTGGAAAGGCTGGAAGCCAAATCCTTTGATAAATAATAATTACCCATCCCTGATTATGAATTGATTATATCAAACAATTTTTTTTATTTCATGCTAAGAATTTATTTTTTATTCAGTTTTACAATAAATCTAACCACATGAGAAATGAAAAAGTTGACAAACCAGATTAAAGAGGCAAATAAAACAGTAGGATAAACCCAATAAATAGTTCAATGACGTTGTTAGTCTGCTTAATTTGCTCATATACCCTGGTCTCAATATTTGATTTTGCAATACCTTTTTCAAAAATAATTGTCCACATGATTGTTTTCAATCCAAAACACATCAACAGGATACAATAAGCAATTACTGTGACCACTTTATCAGTGACTAACAATATCCATATATAGACAAATTGAAGACAATATGACTAGAAATTGATAACAGATCATACAAGAAAATTGCTTACAATTTTATCCATTTACATTTCTATTTCTAGCTAAGGGTATGCAGGAAGCAGTGTCTTCTGATATCACCCAGTTAGAGTACTAAGATCGTTATTTTGAGTCCTCACCAAAGACCGGACAAATTGGAGAAGATTAATTAAAGAAGATAATGAAGGTGTACTTAGACCAGTAAAGATCAGCATCAAATGACCAGTAATTCACTAATCAATAAGATCATCTGTAATCAGATATTATTATTCTTTGACCTCAGTCTTCATCATCACCAGCTTATAGATTCAGTATAACAATAGCAAATGATCAAATATAATGATTCTTTTGAGAAAGAAAAAAATATTTTCTATCTGATTACGTTTCTGCAGAATTGCATGATAATGAAAAAATCAAAAATCCCTTTGACATTTTTGAAAGCTAAAGTATCAATGTTGGATATAAATTTAATCGTTAGAATCAGACAACTTATGTCTTTGAAAAAATCAATTTAAAGGTATCATACTTATCATTATCACAATATCAAAGTAAAGAAACAGCATGGTCACCTCATAATAGGCAATTTCCAGACAAGAGACAATTCCTGATCCTTTGATCTGTTTCCAAAGGTCTACCAGGTCTCTGGCATTTATAAAGGTACATGGTAATTCCAGGATTAGTTCTGAGACTAATTCCACATGACAGATGTCTGTATCAGTGACTGGTTTTTCAGACGAGATGAAAATTGCTGGTCAAGCTGGAAATTATCTGTAAATTGGTCACTTGGTTACTGTTAATAGCATTGCAACCTCATAAAGTCAATAATAGTGAAGGTGATTTCGTAATAACTGTTTTATTTATCTTATCAGGGAGAATGGAAAACAGTAGGTGAAACTGGAAACTTATGTATCATACTAATGTAGTATTGAGCAAAATTTAATATACATATCAAGTTTCTTGCCAGATGACACCTCAAATTAAAATCCCAGGTTTCTATTTGTCATGGTTCTTTAGTATATTGTCCTGACCTAACCCTGGCAGTGGAAGAGCTCAGTTGGTAGCGTGTTGGATTGTTGTCTGCTATGTGATAATAGGTGCTGTGGGTCGAATTTTCCTCAAGATAAGAGGATACCCATGAAATGACACACAAAAAAACAAGAATTTAATTGATTTTTATCAAAGTTGAGTATCTGGATGTTCCAGTAGAATGTCAAAACAAGATATTTTCATTTCATTGAGAGAATTATTTATGGTTCAAAATGGGTAAGAACAACTAATTCTCTTGGAGATCTGAAAGTCAATGTTCTGACCTGGTGGTCGTAGGTCAAATAAATATGGTATATTTCTGTCACTGACCCAATAAAATCTGATTTATTGAGTTAGTATGGACTGGACTAATGCAGTCTTGACCGGACACAGGCTGTCCAGTACTTATTGAATCCAGTACTGATGACTGTGATTTAATCATCTGATGTTTTGACATAAGTTTCCTACAGAATATTGAAACAAGATGACATAATTATATATCCCTGAACACTTGTCAAAATATTGTCATTGTAATTAGAACATCATCTAATGAAGTCTCTTGCTCTGCTGTCATCTGTCCCAAAACCTATCATTTTATTATTCAAGATTATTTCTTAATCTGTTTATAGTACAAATTGGTGTGTAACAATAAATATTACTGGAATTGGTCAATGAAATTACCTAATAATTATTATCTACATTGTAGAAGAATTGTAGTGTTATATCAGTCACGTTGTAAAATGAAATGAATGGAGTATTACATCCTACTTTTCTGCAACATGTGGGCTAATAATGAGTTACAGAAGAGTGTAGGCCTACTGTTGTTTTCTTACTGATGAGTTTGCTTGACTCTGAGATGGTTAAAGCTTTAGTTAAGATGCCAGATTTCTTGTAAAACAATCTTGATATGTATAAGTTGACATCCTAGTGAAAATTAATAGATAATTCAACAGAATAATATACTTTCTAGGATTAGTTCCACAAATTCTAATACCTATTTTAAAACTGTGATAAAATGACAATAAGACCAATTGTCTTGACCCAACAGAGAATGGTAATATACACTTCAGACAGATTTATTCTTTTTAATCTGATCATTTGTCAAGATAGAATGGAAAATCAATTTGTTATAAAAAGCTGACCAATTTCTGTATGATTATGATATTTTCTGTTGAAAATACAATAATTGTTAGTATGAAAAGTATGTAATATTTTTCTGTTGATGATAGATACATATTGAGGAGCAGCCAGTTCCAAATAAGTACCTTCTGATGAGGTGTACCAGTATATACAAAATGCCTCCATAGAAAACAGAAGATAAAACTCCAGTACTTTTAATTGTGTTGAATAATTAGTAACTTCATTATCATTATTTCACTCATAAACAAACTGCATGAGATCGTAAAGTACAAGTCAATTGGTTATAAAGTATTGGTAAAGTACTATTTACTCTATTATTATTGAAGTATATTCATATTCCACATTTTTACTATGAGTTATTGTTCTGAGTTCAATAGGAATGGTGTAAACTAGCATATTGATAATATAATTAGTATTAATAGGATGCTTGGTCTCTTCCTTTCTAATTAGATTTTCACACCTTTTCCATGTATTCTCTAGAAACAACAGAATACAAGCACCTGTTTCACGCTTCCATTTGTTCTGTCATTATATCTTTAACACCTATTTTCTGTGTCTTTGATCAATTGACAGATTACCAAGAGAGTCATTATGTGGACAAATTCAAGACAAAGATCTGTAGGTACTAACTCAAAGTTACTTTTATGCTGAAGTAAATTACAAAGCAGTTGTCATGGTAGGACTCTGACATGTGAAAGTGAAACAGCCACAGTTCAATATCTTGTAAGAAAATGAAGATGTAAACTCAAAGCTGCATTCATTAGATACATACAGTTTTTACTTCAGTAAGATTTAAACATGGAAGTGAGAGGACAATAGAGAACCACACATAAAGCTGTAGTTATCTCTAGCCCAATATTATCAATAAAGCAAAATCCATCTTTTCAATAATAAAGAACAACCAAGCGTACTGCACCTGCCAAGATCCTGTTATTGTGACTTATAAAATAACAGACTTTAATACTAAAAATTTCATCAATCCATAATAATAATGATTATCTTTTTGGTTCATTTATTTTTTAAAAAGTGAAGCTAAACTAGGTATTTGTTCACCTACAACCCGCTGGCTACTTTGTAAAAAAAAAAAGGCTGTCATTATTTTTTTTTTTGCGTAATTATAAAATCACACCTTTTGCATGTCAATCAATTTATATTATATAAATGTATATAATTATAGAAAATCTGTGTATATTACAACTTCATTAGTCCTGTGTGATTTCTACAATAGTTTGTCTTATTCCATCTTGTTATTATCTTAACTCGTAA